TCAGGTGCTGGGCGCTCATGGCCCGACAACCTCCGCAAGGCACGCTCCAGCTGCCTCCCCGGTCGAGTGTTGAAGTGCCAGTCGTTCGTGTACTTATCCTGTCTCTTATACACATCTAGATGTGTATAAGAGACAGTTGTTATACTGCACTTCAGGTGCTGGGCGCTCATGGCCCGACAACCTCCGCAAGGCACGCTCCAGCTGCCTCCCCGGTCGAGTGTTGACTGTCTCTTATACACATCTAGATGTGTATAAGAGACAGATCTCGGTGAGTGCAGTCCAACCATGTTTTCAAAAAAATATATATATATTTTTTGACCCACTTTTGGACCCAACCGGAATTCCGGTTGGACCCCCGGGGGTCCAACCGGCCCAGTTGGATCCGGGCCGGTCCAACCGGCCGGTTGCCGGCACAGCCATGAAAAAAATAAAAAATAAAAATTATTTTTTTATTTAAATTGTTATTTTAAATTTGGTAAAGATTTTTTTTTTTTTTTTTTTTAATGGGAACAAAACTCCAATCTATTCGTGGGGAGCAACACGTGCTGGGAACCAGGCCCAGCGTCCCATATAGAAGATTACATAGGAATTTGAAAATTTTGAGAGTTTGCAGTACCGGGGCCACTACCCGGGTGGCTAAGAACTAGATTAAGATATACAAACAAACTATTGTGACCCTGAGGCAAAAGTTGTTCAGTTTATTTTCCTCATGGCTACCATCCGGACATCTGGACAGGCGTCCAGACGGTCTGCTATCCGGTGTCTAGACGCCGGACCGTAGAAGGCTCATCCGAAAGGGGCCAAAAACCCAAAATTGAAAAAAAAAGGGGCCACCCTAGACATGTTCCTTGGGTCCAGGACGCCCCCTGAAAAATGTTTTGATGATTTTTGTGGCCGGCATCGGCCGTATAGGGTGGCCGGACCGGCCCCTTTTCTACTTGCATCGTGGGCAGACCATTGGAGGCAGAGCGCAGTTCCCCAGTGACAAAGGGAAGAAAGGGCAGATCTAGGCACTTCAGAGGGCTTCCCCCCCCACCCGCCGCCACCACACACACAGAGGGAGAGGGAGAGACATCCCTCATTACCATCGTGGACGTTGCGCACATGCAAANACTTCGAACTTTGAACTTCATATTCTGAAGAATCTGAACTGCTAAAGTCTTGAACTTTATTTAATATTTACCTTTATTCACGTTTACTGTGGAGTGCTCTTTTTTTGTTTCTTCACTTTTTCTTTTTCCTTTTTTTTTCTTTTTATTTTATTTTATTATTTTTTTAAGTCCATGGTGTTGTAGAGGCCAGTCACTGAGTACACAGTGATCACCTGGAGCAGTAGGCCGTGGGTGTCCTGGAATATGAGACCACCTCCCATCCCATCCTCACGTCAATACTCCTAGCGCACCCCCTATCCCACTATCCTACCTCAGTGTGTCAGGACCATTACCCTACCAATGGGCACTGCCAGGTAACTTGGACCGAACAGCAGTGATGGGCACCAGGGCTGATAGGTTGCCCTGCCCTGGTGGAAGCGGAATCGGACGAGCCTTGCCGAACGGGAACTTCGGACGCCAGGCCCAGACAATCTACTACAGGCCCCAAGAGACTATGGGCCCTAGTTTTCAGACAGGGTAGCACCAATGGAAGCAGTCTTACCGTCCTTCCCCTAGCTTACCCAAGGCCAGGCGGAACTCGGACTGGCCTGAGCGACTTATACCCCTACCCTTACCTCAGGGTCTAAGCCTTATATATAGCCACTAGACAGTTCTACCCGAATATCAGTAGGAACTCCGGTGGCCCATACCTGTCCCTACTGCAGATACTAGACCCCACCCAATGACTAGACCCACCCAGTCTGATAGTTGTGTAGTTCGCAATGTATGTGTATACCCGAAGGCTGTGTATGCTTCGTGTATCTATGTATGAAGATGTACAGACAGCACTGTGTGTGGAAACTTGTGTATGTAGCCCGTAGGCCATGTATAATTTGCAAGCCATGTATATGCCCGAAGGCTCTGTTTGCTCTGTGAATCAATGTATCGAGATGTATAGGCAGCATCATGTGTGTATATCGAAGAGAGAACGGGGTAAGCTGGACAAGGAACCCCCCAAGGTCCGAACCAAACTCGAACCCCTGACCTCGAAACATGTAATCGTATGACTCTACCATGTGAACGATGGTGGAAACGGCACGGATGTGTGATATGCCAGACTGGGGAGATCAACAGAACACCCAAGACCAACACCCCCAAGCAACGCATGTGAAACCCAGAACCAACATACAACACCATGAACAACCCTTGGGTGGTGCGCAGGCAGTGTCTGTAATAGTACCATGCGTCAGCCCAAGGGAGTGTATGTCCAGCCGTGCGTCAATCTAACGCCCTGCCGGTGTCCATGCGCAAGGTTGCAATTGAGTTTTGAACCCGCAACCTCATACCACAATGCGCATTTCCAACCGGTGCTCTGACCACTGAGCCACATCAACTGGACTTCTTCTTCACTTTTTCTTCTCTTGCAGCAGTTTGTGCTTTGCAGTGACTGTGCCAGCACAGTGGATGTCAAGGAATGATCATTCATGTTTGTCATATATGCCAACAGCTATGTCTTCCAGGAACACTTCCCCTTAAGTCACTGTTATAGTAATACGATGAAACTGCATTCAACATGCATAAGAGACCTGCCAGTTTTAGTTTTTTTTCCCCAATCCGGACTGATCCGGACATGATCATCCGGACCATCCGGGCCGACTGGTTGTCTGGGTCCGGATTGGTCCGGTGTTCGGGTGCGCGGTAGCCATGATTTTTCTGCATAACTGTCATAACATAGTTTTTTTTTTCGGATTTTTTGGATTTTTTTTTTTTCTGGGGGGGGGGGGCTGGGACCTTCCCTGGTCCTTGCACGGCCGGGCCGCCCGGGAAAATAGGGTGACCCGGGTGGCCTGGCTGGTAGCCTAGATTCTATATATATTTATTTTTTCCCATCTTTAAATCTATTAAAAAAACAATAAAAAACAGAAGCAGAAAGAAAAAAAACGAAAAGGAAAGAAATGTTTTAACAAGGATTTTTTTTGCAGGGAAAAAGTGGGCAAACGCG